AAAAAAAAAAAAAATTCTCTCCTCTCTCTGACCACATTAACAGCCTTACTGTCTTACTTCTTAGGAGTCAGGGGTCGGAATAACCCAGGGGAGGGTGGGTGCGATGGGCAGTGGGACAACTCTGGTACACATCTGTGCCTCAAGGGACACAGCTTTGTCTTGTAGTGCCAGGAGGAGGCGTTCTACGTGCCACCCAGAGCGCCATCTACTACGAAGCCCGAGAACTGCAGCGGGAGACCAGCCCGGAGAAAGACATCTCACAGCCAAAGCGGAAGTAAAACGCTACCCAGCAGGCTCTGCGCGCCTACAACTCCCATCATGCTTCATCTGTGACTGCGAAGCTCCTTGCAGAAATCGGCGGCTCGACTTTTCACCTGTGCTCACATTTTCCTTAGTAGAGTTCCTCGGCAGGTCTCTCGTCTTTCCCCGGAGCTCTTGGATCCCAGAAACAAGGGCGCCAAGGCTGAAACGCAAAGACCCTCAAGGAGGCGTGGCTTCAGGACCGGAAGAAACTCCTGTTGCCAAGGGAACGCCGCGCGCTAAGGCGCCTGCTCAGCCCCTGATGCTCTTGCTGAGGCTGAAGCTGCCAGTTTCCCCAACTAGTAGAGGCGGCTTTGCCCAAGACAAGGGATCTTTCCGATGGAGTCCTAGAGAGGAAGGCTGAGGCACTTCCGTACCAGATTTCCTTCTCAGAAGCTGATACTAGCGAGCGCATCCATTCCGGTTCCTCACAAGCTCCTGGACCCTCCAGACCAGCTTCAGTTTCAGGTATCTCCTATTTCCCCAGTTTTTGTGGCCAGAGGTAAACCTCTCCCCCTTAGCTTTAGGAGTTCTCTTTACTCTTTCCCACGTTTTGTGCTCCACTCGAGTAGTCGTTTCTAATGTGTGAAAGATGGAAAAGGAGAATTGGACTTCTGTGGTGAGTACTAGGGACCCTAGAAAACGTATTGAACTGGTTTGGGCGAATAGTGTTTGGTTAGTTTTAACACTGTCCAACTTGAGCCTTTTTATGATTTATGGGGAATTACAATAGAAATTTCGCTATAAAAAACTGAAAGTCAAATAAGCATGTTTACTTGGTGTAATAAAAGGTGCAAAAATTTACTCGACAAACATGTTTAAAGTTTACAAAATACCATTCATGGGTTTTCTCTGCCTGATCCTATCTCTGTCTGCAACTTACTTTCCAAGCTATTAACTGGATAATATCCTAATTTTTCTGGGCTTTTCTAGCAACGTGTAATCTTTTAGGAGGCTGATTCTCAGTAGCCAGGAAAAGGAAAACAGATGAAAAACTGAAAAGATAGATTGTGAAACACCTTAAAAAGTGCATAACCACTGCTTTAGAGATCATCCAAAGGACAGAGAGGCCAAGCAACTCACAAAGTCATACATCCAGGGCCATGGCCAATACTCAAACCCAAGTATTTTAGATTCAAGTGCAGAGTTGTTATTACAGCAGATTGATCTCAGGTGTCTTAATTCTGCCACTGTCTGTTTAGAATGTAAGATTTTAAGCTAAAGTTATATTTTGTTTCTAAGCTATCAGATAGTGGTGCTCTGCCTAGCTAACGCTTGCCAATCTCAACATCAGCTTTCTACTTTTTGCCTAAAACAAGACTATAATTTTCTCCAAAAATAAGCTTTAGTACAGTTTTGATAATAAGAACAACTTGGAGAGTGAAAAAGGCTAAGTGTACTTTGTAACATGTGTCTCATTTTTTTAACTTTTTTATTATCCAACTCTGAATGTTTAGGTTTGCCATGGTCAGATTGGGATAGTCTTTCATCTATTATAGTGTCTCAGTCTGAGTGGTGGTGGGGGAGGGGTTTCTTCTTAATAAGAATTACCCGGACTAATCTCAGATTAGTCATAATTAGCCTTTGGAAAACCTTATTGTTGTCCAAGATCTTTCTTTCTGTAAACTTAAACAAGAAGAATGAAAGAAAAAAGAAAAACATGAGATAAGAAAAATTGTATAGAAGCACAGAAATTTTCATAGCATATTTTTCTTCATAACTGAAGTGAAATCTTCTGTGGAAAGTGTGCAAACCATTTAATAAATCTACCATATTCTGAAAACATACCAGTATGAGAGAAGGGCTTTATCAAATGATCAAATGTATTATAAAGGGAGGTGAATTAAAAGATTGTAGTCCTGATCTAAGTATAGACAGATCCATAAAAAGAGAGTAGATCAGGTTTCCCAAATTATGTGCAATTGAAATACTTCCCAACAAAGTTTTCAAGGACAGATATTCATCAAAAATACTACTGGCTTTATATACCTCTTGGAAACTTGCAGTCCATATGCTAAATCATATTAAAGAGTTTCAGGAGTATGGCCCTGCAGAAACCTGTTTAAATTGAGAGAATACCAAATTTCTAAAACTTACATAATCTTGGAAACCTTTTAAATATAATTCATAAAATCATCTTCCAAAGAGTACTATTTGTAATATGCTGAAATACAGAATCTACTAACACACCCAAACCTGTATAAAAAATATAGAATGTGAAAAAAAGTTGAGAAAAAATTAGTCCATCTATAAGGGTTGGTAAAAAAGAAAATGATACCAGAATAAAATGACTATCATTGTATTAAAGAAAAGAAGCCACAGCCCCTTCCCTGCCTCACTTCTTATACCCAGATGTTTCAGGCAAAACTTAAACTTCAAAAACTTCAAAATCATTATTTTCTTCAAAAGGCAGAAAATATTTTGGGGTTAATATGTTTAAAATATTGAGGAGGAAAAGTGTTTCTGGGCCTAATGCTGAAGAAAGAAGCTGGAGAAAACATTATAAATATTACAGGATAGAAATTAAAACTCCTAAATAAAAAAAAAGAAAAGAAATTAAAACTCCTTTACAGCATAAAACAACATAAATAATAGTAAAATTTTATTGGTTAAAACTATGCAATAGTATGGCATGGCAAGGGCTCTCACATGCCAATAGTAAAAAGTAATCAATAGAAAAATAAGCATCAGAATATAGCTGATAATTCATAAAAGAAGAAATGTTAATGGCAATTAAATTCTGAAATGATGTTCAGTTTCATTAGTAGTGAAATAAATACGAATTTAAACAATACTGAAATACCATTTTTTTACTTTTAGATTAGCAAATATTGAAAAATTAACCATAACCTGTGTTGATAAAAGGAATAGAAAGCTTTATCCACTGTTGGTAAGTGTTGTTGCAAGTTTCTTAGAAACAAATCCTCAGAATCTATCAGAATTTAAAATATGATTGCCTTTTGATGCAACAATTCCTACCTCTAGAAATATACTTCTAAGAATGTATAGTAGGTCTGAGGATGTAGCTTAGAGGTAGAGGATTTGACAAGCATTTGTGAGGTCCTAGGTTTGAATGAAGGTTAAGAAAATCTGTAAAAAAAGATCTTTATAATTGAATATTGATTAAGGAATTAGATTTAAGAGTGTGATGACATGGAATTTTTCTTTTTGAGTGTGTTCATTACCAATATTTATTAAAAATAAACTTCATGTACAGTAGGAGTACAGATATAACCAAGGTAGTGTTAGAACTCAGATCATGATACCGCAAAGTATTGCATCTTGAATTTCTGAGTACCTTGAAGTGAAAGACTTTGGAAGGGCCTGGGAAGCAAGATTTTCCTGATTTTTTTTTTTCCGCTTCCTGTGTCCTGCCTATCTGTCTCCCCAAAGAGAAATGAGAATTATTCTTCCCCAAGACATATCATAGAAACTAGAACTCCTGTCCCTCAAAGCAAACCATAAATCCTATCAAAGTCACTTTCCTCCTCCCTTGAAGATCCTCATTCCAGTGAGGTCCTGCTCCATACCTGCACAGAGTGACCAAGAAGAATCTGAATGGACAGGGCTTGTTGGGTTTCCCTCTGTTACCATTAGATCATATTCTTTTGTCTGATCACAGTTTACACTCTGTTCATATTTCATGGGACCTAACAAAAAAAAATAGAAAATTTCACTGAGTCTTTGGGTCTTTATTTCTGAAGGCTCCTATGTCACGTAAAACTTTGAGTAAAAAATAGCTTTGTTATGCTTTTCTCTTGTTAGGGGAAAAAATGCTGTAAATGGACTTAATTTTGATAGGTAGCAAGGCGACATGGATGATAAGAACATGGGATTAGGGGATCTGAAAACTACTATTTCTCAATAGTGACTACTTATCAGAAACACTGTGTAGCTTTTAAAACTATGAATGCCTTTATCCCATTCTTAGAAACTCTGATTCAGTAGTTGATTGCAAAATGCAACCAGTGTTGAAAATCAGAGCCTATTATAGGAATAGGAATCTATAAAAGATATCAATTGTGTCTTCCACTGTGCTTTTAATACACTGTGCTTTTAATAAATGTTGAGTGACTTTAGTTATTTTTTAACTTCCTTCCTTTATGCATATAGACAGTAAACTTATGGATGGAAAATTAAAATTACTGAAAAAGTATACATAAGGCTTCATCATAGTTATTTTTGAAGCAACTTCAATAAATAGGATTACATCCTTTAGAAAAACTGACTTCCTTTTTCAATTGTATATTGAAAAATATAACAGTAACAAATGTTAGTAATTGTGAAAAGGAATGGAAGTCAGAATAATGATGAAAAATGATTATTTAAACATTAGGCTTTAACAGTGCTTTATAGTAAATGGAGAAGATATGAAAAGTGGTCATAATTTTAAAAATATTTTAAGTCATATGGAATACAAAATAATATAAGCATTTATATCAATATGTTCAGTATAATAAAGTAATAGCAAATTTACTTCGAATTAAGATGATCTGTGTGAATTGCTTAATTGAAGGTTAACTTAAAATAGATCCTACAAATACCAGTCCTTTAGATGATATTCAAAGGAAATTTTGAGTGGGATTTGTACCGCTAATATTAAAAGTCGATTCACTTGGCAGAAATGGAAGTACCTGAGGTCAACCCATCCCTTGGATAAGACAAAATTAGCTCTGTTATAGAACTTACTCTTAAATGGGGGAACGGTGCCTTCTATCTTCTGTACCTCATTGAAATTCAGTTTTAAAATTTATAAACTATAATAATCTCCCAAAGGACTTAAGGAAAATGTCAATTCTGCAGCATCCTTTCCCATGCAGTTATCTTGGAAGCCTCTTATTGGTTAGTTTTGTACAGCCTTACATCATTCAAGGTTTGGTCTTGCTTAGGATGGTATGGAATAAAAAATACTGAAGAAATTGGCAGATAATAGGTTTCTGGAACTGTAGATGAAGATGAAAATAAATTGAGACTAATGTTTAGAGAACTTGGAAAATGAATATTCAATGAGTAATGGGAAATAATCACAGGTATTTTGGGGCAGTGCCTATAGCACTTGAGGGTTGGCAAAAGGAATATCTCTCTTTTCTTATAGAGTCAGGTGATCTGAGAAGTGAGGAATCCAAAACAAGCTCCTTTGAAAAGTTTCATTTAGAGATCTGAAGTATAAATTTAATAGCATCTTGGATAGGAACACCTGTAAAGTTTTCACATAGCAAAGATCCTGTCAATAGCAATTTTACTTGACTTTGTTTTTTATTTTTTATTTATTCTTTTTAAGTATACATGACAGTACAATGTATCTTGACAGATTATACATACATGGAGTATAATTTATTCTAATTAGGACATCATTTTTGTAATTGGATTGCTGGTAGATTCTTTTTTAAACATTTGATTTAGAAAGTGCTATAGTTTGCATCTTAAGTGTTCCCCAAAAATCCATGTGCCAAAAGCCTAGTCCTCTGTAGCCTACTGAGCAGTCTCAAACATTGAGGGCTGCCCTGAAAGAGATAGTTGGACCCAACCCCTTCTTTTTTCTCTTTTTTACATCCCAACTGTGAGGTGAGCAGCTTTGCTCCACCACATGCTCCCCACTATGGTGTACTGCTCCACTACAGGCCCAAAAGTAATTGGGCCACTCTCTATCATTTACTGAAATCTCCAAAATTCTAAAAATAAACCTTTCTTTATATAAATTAATTGATCTCAGATATTTGTTATAGCAATAGAAACTAACAGAAGAGTTGTTTTGTTTTTTTCTAAAAATGAATACAATTGAACAAATGCATACTTTAAGGAAAAGTTAACAAAAAATCTTTTAACAGTATTTGAGAAAATAAAAATCTAATATTAGTATTTACTTTCTTATTTCTATGCTAGTATTATAAAGTTCTCTTAAAATAACAGAAGGATGTTTCAGGTAAATTATAGTTAAGATAATAAATTTAGTAAGATTCAATAAAAGTGTGATACTGTTTGTGTATGTGTGTGTGTATGTGTGTGTGTGTCCATTATTTCAAAATGGATTTGTGATGACTTGCAAGGATAAGGGAAAATAAAGATAAATATATCAGGATGGTTTATTTCTATTGATAGAAAACCCTACTCAAACTGAAAGTAACCAAACAAAAATAGTAAACATCTTCATAGTATTGCAAAATATAACAATGCTCTTATTTGTCATAAAGATTTAGTTAGTGATTCAAATGATATAGGCAGAAATCTCAATTTGAAGTGTTACTATTGGCAGATTTCATATGATAGTGAGGCTGACCACATCTTCTTCTTAAATATTGTAAATTGCAATGAGAAATGTGGTTCTTTCAAGGGCATTGGTTGAACATAGAACAAATGTGGTTCTATGTTGCCAAAGGCTATAAGCTGCCAATCTGCATTTTATTTAAGGCTTCTTTCTGGTAATCAGCTTATACTCTGTTTACTAAGCATAAAGCTACATTGACATGTTTTTTACATCAATGTGTGTCTTTAAATTTTTAATGCAGATATCAATATTTTCCGTACTTAAGGTGCCTTTAGATAGTATATTTTTTTTTACTTGCAGCCACTTTGTATATATTGGAATAACAGTATGGGATTGCTAGACCGACTTTCAGGTTTGCTTGGCCTGAAGAAGAAGGAGGTTCATGTTTTGTGCCTTGGGCTGGATAACAGTGGCAAAACAACAATCATTAACAAACTTAAACCTTCAAATGTAAGTATCTTTGTTCAATGCAGTACGTATTTTCTGCTACTAGAAAAAGTTAATATGTAGAATTATTTTGTTTGATATTATAATTTTCTGTAATCATGTTATGAATCTTGTTAATCTTGAAATACTTTAATAAGTATCAGTGAACTACAATTTGCGGTGTATTTTATGTTGCATGTATAAAAATCTTGGTTATTAAACTGGAATATTATTTTAGTTGGTTTTTTTTCCCTAAAGATCTTCATAACTTTCTCAACCTTACTTTCAAGTTGCATTGCCTTTTTTTTTTTTTTAACTTCCCTCTTTATGGGAGATGTAAAACAAAGGGAAAGAATGAATGGGCATTTTTATAGGTTCTATGAAAATTAGACACTTTTCCCCAAAAGTGTGATGTACATATCAGTTGTAGTGGACAGGAAGACAGAAAAAAACATATGAACAAATTATTTTAATAATTAAAACGTAGGTAAATCTAACACATTCCACACATGATATATACATTCCTGCTAAGTTTTGCTACAAGAAAACTCATATAATAGTGCTTTACTAACTTCTGATAACCACTTCCTGAACCATAGTCTTTAGGCAGCTATTCTGTCTCAGAAAAATAATTTGCTTTGCCCTTTTTTGTGTCTCTTTTCAAGAATCTAGTTGCAGCTGTCATTTCCTTAAAAGATATGTTTATATTTCTTTTTAAATTACAATTTTTTCCTCCAGTTCCTAGCAATCTGAAATTATCTTGTATATTCATTTGCTAACTTCCTTGTTAAATTTATCTTCAGCATAATATAGCACTTAACTTGTTAAGCACTGAATTACAAATATCTAGAATAATGCTCAGCAATTAAGTATATTTTGGGGTGATAAATTGATAGATGATGTTTTTGGTTTTGGCCAGGGAATTTTGATTGATAGTCTAAGGATATTGGATTTTACCAGATGTTATAAAACTAACTAAATAGGTTCTTAGAAGTCTGTTTCATTCCTGTTAGGGTTGATCCATCCCTAGACTGTCTCCGATGATCTGTTCCTATACCTTTCACTTGCTTTATATCATCCCCTGACTAATTTAGAGAATGGCCCAATGCATTTGCTCATGAAGAGAGCAGAGAGAGATTAATTTTGGAGATTTATCTTTTGGGAATACTTTAGAGGAAAATGAGTTGTACATGATCTGGAAGCACTAGCCCCCATGTATGTTCTATCCTGATTAATTTGTGGAGTATCTTAACTTTGATGGAGAAGAAAAGAAAGTTAATGAATTTTACATCTAAAAATAAAATACCATATTAAAGGGGAATTTGTGGAGAAGCTGAATATTTGTGGAGAGGTTAGCTGAATGTTCTAATTATAATTCAATGAAAACAAGGTTACTGTTTTGATTTATTTTCTGAGATTTCTTTAAGCTTTAACTTCCTCACTTTTTTGTTACTGGTATGTTTTTCTTAGGTAATAGCTGATGATTTTATCATGTGACTGACACATTGAGAACCCTTAAAGATGGTGGAGATTTTTTTTGGACAACAAAATTAGGAAACTATTTCAAAGCTTGTGGGAGGAATCCTAATATATGAGGCAGAAATCTTAGTAGCAGAAAATAATTTTTTTGAACAAACAAGTAGGAAGGTATTTTTGAAAAATACTATGACAACTCTTAAGATGGATGAAAGAGAAAGATGAATAAACTTCAAAAAAGCAAGACCAGGGTACTTCAGGGGCAGACTTTTTCACTAATGTGTACCCAGACCCCAGTGATTTTACAGCTTCAGTGTTTTCATTTGAATTTAAATTTCCCAGAGTGAGCATAGTGATGTGAGGCAAAACTGGAAAGGGATTTCTTTTTAAGCTATATTTGTGGTAGTATGGGGAAATAAGTGGAGGCAAGACTGAATGAAATCAGTGAGACTATGATTATAATAACAGCAGACATTTGTTGCATATTTTAAGACACAGTATTGTTTGTTTTGCACCCATTCGTTTAATTTTCATGATAACTTTATGAGCTAAGGATAGTAAAAAATATACCTCACATTTAAGAAAACTTAGTCTTAACTAATTTGTCCAAGGTAATTCTATTGTCTCAATAGTCTCTTAATTGCCTATGCTACCTAGATTCCTCTCATTTCAATCAGAATAGCAACAATCAAGAATACAAGTAACAAATATTGGGAAGGATGTGGAGAAAAGGGTACATTCATAGGTTGCTGGTGGGACTGCAAATTGGTGCAACCATTATGGAAAGCAGTATGGAGAGTTGTCAGAAAACTTGGAATGGAACCACCATTTGACCACTCCTCAGTATATATACCCAAAGGATTTAAAGTCAGCATACTACAATGATACAACCACATAAATGTTTATAGCACCTTAATTCACAATAACTAAGCTATACAACCAACCTAGATGCCCTTTAACAGAAGAATGGATAAAGAAAATGTGGTAGATATACACAATGAAATATTTACTCAGCCATAAAACATAATGAAATTATGGCTTTTACCTGTAAATGGATGGATCTGGAGACTATTATGCTAAGTGAGATAAGCCAATTCCACAAAACCAAAGGTCAAATGTTTTCTCTGATATGTGGATGCTGACACAGAACAAGATGTGGGGTAGGGGTAAAAGTTCAATAGATTAGACAAGGGGGAATGAAGGGAAGGGAGGGGGACAGGAATAGGTAAGAAAGTGGAATTAATCTCACTTAACTTTCCTATGTACATATATAAATAAACCACAGTGAGTTGTGAGTCTCCACATCAGGTACAACCACAAGACTAGGATTCTAATTAGAGTAAGACGTGTTTTGTGTTTGTATTCTCTACTGTCATGTATACCTAAAAAGAACAAATAAAAAGGGACTATTGTAGTAATTCAAAGCAAGAAATAATAAGGACCAGAATGAAGTGAGATAGAACCTGTAAAGAGAATGATTTAGAAAATGATTGTATATGGAATGTAAAAAAGGAAGGATTCAAGAATAACTTTAAAACTCTGGATCAGAAAATAGGTAGATGTTTTATTCAAATGGGTGAATAATTTTGATGGTAGAAATGCTAAGAGACATTTGATGAGTTTTCAGTAAAATGCATTTTAATTGCCTGTTCAACTTGTCAACAGATGTCCTGCTGTACTATTGTCCCCTTTCAGTATTCATCACACAGAACTCTCTGCGTAGGCTTTCAATACCTACCTTTCTTACCTAAACACATATAGCTCTTTTACTTATCCATATACTTCAGACAAGCAGGCCTTATACTTTTTCTGAGTGTCAGGTTCCTTCTTGCTCTAAGATCATTGCTGCACAGGCTAAGACTGGAATGTTTTTTGCCAAGAGCTTGTCATAGCTTTTCTCTTTCATGGCCATTTACTCTTGTGTTGATGTCACTCTCTTAGAGCAGTCCTTCCTGAGGACCCTACTGTGCCACATACCAGCCTTCCTCTGCCCTGTTCCCTTTCACTCCAATCACCTGTCTTTGTACTTAACACTTTTCAAAATTGTATTTATCTGTTATTAAGTTTTTAATTCATTTACTTTCTCTAGATTATAAACTCATTGAGAGCAGGGACATGTAAAGAATAACAAAGACAGAAGCAACAAGGTGCAGGGGCAAAGTAAAAGAGCTTCTCATCTGAGCTGCCAGCTTTATTTATATCCATAGGCTACATTAGGTCATTGACATCGTTAGTACATATTGCTCATTGTAAAAAGTTACTGTTATGAGGGCAGGTTTAGGCACAGTGACACATTGGTGTTGTCTAAGAGAGTTCCTTTATTCTCAGAAGCTGAGTATTTGAGATTAAGGTCGAGGCTGATAAGACTCTAGCAGAGAGCCTCCTCTCAAGGACATTGAGCTAGGCATTGACCATGTATTAGTCATTTTACTAGTTCCAGGGAGAAACTGTAGAATATTCCAAATGTGGATAACAGGGTGCCTGATACACTCCAGGAGTTTGCTCACCAGAGGAACGCTGCCTTGTACATACCCGCAGCCAAAATCCTTACAGGGACAGTCTAGACATGAAGTCAAGGTGGTATTTGTATAAACTTAGTAAATATGCGTTGAAAGATTAGACAATTCCACGTATGAACTCAGAGTGATATATTAGACCTGCTAAAAAACAGATAGGGCAGAGGGATGGGATGGGAAGGGAGAGGGCTGAGGTTTAGCAATGATGGTGGAATGTGATGGACATCATTATCTAAAGTACATGTCTGAAGACATGAATTGGAGTGAATATACTTTATATACAACCAGAGATATGAAAAATTGTGCTTTATATGTATAAATATATATATATATATATATATATATATATATATATACATGTTTTAATGTTTTAAAAAGGATTAAATATTGGAACATTGTAGGATTTAGAAGTGGAGATGAGATCCCAACAGATAAAACTGATATGTAGAATTGAAGTCTATGTATATGATTATGTCTCTGTCATAAAGTCAAAGAAATTAAAGTAATTTAAAACAAAATTTGATGAGGTGAATTATAAGGTAAAATCATTTTTGCTTATGTGGATACATGACCTAATCTAGAAGCTGTATTTGACATCTGAAGCAAATGATGATTGTAAAATTGATGATACACTATGCCTACTATAAGCATTTTTGGTCAAAAATTTTTTGTCATTTTTTGTCAAAAAATGCTTATAGTAGGCACAGTGTATCATCAATAGAAAATTCCTGAGTTAAATCAATAGATGAATTAATTACCTTACTAAAAAAGTTTTTTGCTCTCTATTTGTTGCAAACTGGCAATTAAAAATCCCAAACCAAATAAAACAAGCAAGCAAACAAACAAACAAAAACAAAAAACCACAAACATTTAGAAAAAAAGAAAAAGAAAACTTTAAGTCCTTGGTAACTCTTAATAAAATACAATGTGAATTAAGACATGGATGTTATGCAGTTAAAATCAGTATAAAGTTTAAACAGCTATAAAAAATTTATACACATTGATCCTATTGCAAAAGTTATAATTTGTTTAATGCTGCCATCTCCTTTGTGACATGTTTTAGAAATATAAAATATGAACACTTTTTTTCACAAGAAAAAATTCTTTGTTAATTGCAATTTTCTAAACTTTCTCTTTTCTCTTATAGGCTCAATCTCAAGATATAGTTCCAACAATAGGATTCAACATAGAGAAATTCAAATCATCCAGGTAATCCCCTTTATCCCTTTGACTAAAAGTCATAGATATGATTATGTCAATAGGAATCCCAATATTATATATAGCTATAATGCACTAATAAAAAATAAATAAAGTTATAAAAAGAAGTTGTGGATAAAAAGTAACCATATTAAATCTGCCTGAGCCTGATCATCCCTCCTAGTCTTAGAGAAAGTAATTTGTTATTTTAGAAACCTGTAGATTCTAATACTTTGTACTACTACCTCTGGTTTATTGTTCAAAACATAGAATTTAGATTCTAAGTAACCTCATTAGCAAATTAAGTATCTTTTTGTGTTATTCATTACAAAAATCATACGTACAAATTCATTTTTTGGAACTCTTAAAAATTGGCCCACATTGATTATTATATAGCAAGGGTGATATCTTTGAAAGCAATTTAAAATACTAAATAAATGTTATACTGTAAGTTAGTAGCTTATAATATAGTCACACTTCATACTTTTTTTTTAAGTTTGTCTTTTACAGTGTTTGACATGTCAGGTCAGGGAAGATATAGAAATCTCTGGGAGCACTATTATAAGTAAGTATGTTTATGAATATTGTTTAATGATTATATTAAAGTTTAATATAATATACTATAAGCACATTTTCTAATTCAAATGTAATATAATTAAGCACATTTTTTAATTCAAATGCTTCAGGTCCTTCATAACATTGAGCTTTTGCATGTGCCATTCTGTTTTTAATGTCCCATTTTATCTTACATATTTTTAGTTTATGGTTAATTTATTCATGCTTTAAGAATTTGCTCAAAAGTCACCTCCTCTGTCACTGTTTCCCTATTTATTCTTTCCCCTGTGTTTGCCCACTACCTTATCCCTTTACATCTCTGTAATCTTACTTACTATTATCTCAAAGTCAAGTACTGTAGCTGCCTCCCTAATGGGATTGTGAACTTATCTAAGGATGAGATGATTTCCTTTCTTTAAGGCTTAGTATGATGCTTAGCATGTAGATAAAATATTATTACCAAATTTAGTTAAAATAATAGTACTAACAGTTGTTCTGTTTTTTCCATGAGCAATTTTAAATAGGATATTTTTCAGCATAAGCAAATAAGTGTTCACTAGTTACTTCAGATTAACAGCTGTCAAGTTATTAGAATCCATATATGTTATACTTTCTCAAGATTTGCATTTGGTGTTAAATTCATTAACTTCTAATATTGATAGAACTTTTGCAGTATGTATAAACGTGGTGGTATAACCAATGTTATCCTGCAGTCTGTACATGTAGGAATGATAAGAATTCATACCCCATTTGAAACAATTGTATGATATATGATAT